TGCTCCCAATTCTGTCATCCAGGTCATTGATAAAGATGTTGAATAACCAGACCTCTTTTGCACCAGATCTGCTAGGAATTCAGCTGGTCTTTCCAGTCTCTCTCCACTATGATTCTTGAGAGGGAGGGGGGGTCTGTTATTTATTTGAGATATCAATTAAACGTGAAAGAATGGTATTTGTGGTGTCAGTAAAGGATTCAAAACCATTTTCAGATATGTTTTTTCTCTTTCTCTCCACAAGTTTTTAATCCTCACTGAGGAAATTATACTTGTGTGAATGTTGTGTGAAGGTGAAGTATATATCATCTACAGTTCTGCTTTCAGTCTGAGAATTTCACTTAGAATTTAAAAGGGTGGTGCAGGTGATGGCATGACATCATTCTGAGTTAAGGATCACTCTGAGTGGGGACAATAGGATTAAATTAAATTCAGACAGCAGGAAAAGCAAAGTTTAGATATTATTGAAAATGGTTATAGCTTCAGGGCAGCAGTAATGAACAAGGAACAAGTTCAGCTGGTTTTAGGATTATTTAGTTTGGTATTTATGTGGGAAGTGGCTGTGAGAATAGACTAATGTAAGATGTTTCTCCATCTAAAGCAGGAGTGAATTAAATTGCCCCATGGGCCACATGCAGCCCTGCAGGGCATTTTTGCCACTAGTGCCATCCCCAATCCTCTATCTAAAAAACATCCACTTCTTTCCTTACTGGAAACTTTTAGCCATCTTGGTTTCATTTTAATTTTTTTAAAAAAGTATTTTCAGGTCTGGTATGGCTATGGACAATGCTGGTGGAAAATTGGACCAGTAGAAGTTGCCACCGCAATATAAAATATAGTTCATTCTGCACAAGCCACTACATCTATTTCATGGGTGTATGTCTTAGAGAAGAATTGTCTTATGAATACCTTCAAAGGCTTGGGTATATAGTGCTTTTCCCAAATACAAAAACATTTCAAATCTGTTATCTCAGTGATACAGCCTCCCAGTACTATAGGCCAATGTCATGTTTTAAAAGAAGATATAAGAGATACAATATGAGTTTGAATAATGTTTCTATATTGTTGTTGTTTTAGTAGTTGGCTGATGTCTTCCTTGTCAGTGGCATGTTGAATCTGCTCTGGGTTTTTTGTTTGAATTGTAAAGGATCCATGTGGTGGTGTCACTAACTAAGTTGTCACCTGGCGTGGAGGGTGTCATCCAAGAAGGTTGTGCATTTACCTCTCCTCTCCTCCATTGCTGGGTTTCCTCCCCAGGAGAAAGCCTGGAGATGGAGTAGTTGGAAAGGGTGCACATCTCCTGCATCAAAGTGACCCATCTTCTGAGGTGCTCCCCAGTGCAATCCAGACCCCTGCACCTCCCCATGACACCACTGGATCCATCTGCTGTGCTAAACTCTTTACCTGAAATAAAGAAAATCTTTAAAGTTTGGACTGGAGTTGAGGCCAGCAGGAAAGGACCACCAACCTGCTGTCTGAGCTGGCCCAAAAGGAAGATGCCACAACTACTCCTGTCAGTCCCATAACAACTAACAAAGGTGAATTGAAATGCTGACTTGTGCACCCTTGAAAATGACAAGGGTTCACATTTAAAAAATGGAAATGGGAGTACAGTTCTGGCTGCTTCAGTAGATATACTTCACTATTGATAGGTTTCATTATGTCAATAGTGCTCACAATGTAAACTTGATGATTTAGCGATGGATTTCTGGGATCAAAGGAGTGTGGATGCATTTCTAGAGACTGAAAAGACAATTTCAAAAACAGAACAAAGAATAGCAGGCTAGGAAAAACTCCAGTGGGAAAATTTTCTTCTTTTTGCAAAACATTGCAGCAAATTAATAGTATTCATATTTTTACTAGTCAGGGAACATTCACAGCAGTGCTAGTGCAATATTTCCTTCAGCAATAGTACACTGGATTTATCTTGAATATGTGAAATTCCTTGACTCTTTTGGCATGGGTAGTCCTGAATCTTTCACTATTCCTAGCCATTTTTATGCTTATAACTGCTGTGGATGCATTGAATTTAAGGCAATACAAATACAAATACAACTGAAATACAGTGGCAGAGACTAGGCAAAACTTCCAACTATTAAAGGCTCTAATTTGGTTTTGGAAACATTATTTTTTTAAAAGAGGGGGGAGTGTGGATGACATCTGGAAACAAAGAGCAAAAGTTCTGACTCCAATGATATGACTTCCCATTTCAAACCTATCACCTTGCTTTTTATGAACTCAGTTCCATATTTGATTTTGTAATCTATGTATTCTTTTTTTTAAAAAAACCCTCTGTTCACCTCCTGAAAAATAGGGTTCCTCTATTTGGTAGCATGTAAAATCCCCATGTGGATCCCAAAAGCTGATGCCCAGTTAGGAGGTAGACTACTGTACTTTCTCTCAGGCTGGCCCAGAGCAGCTGACCTCCGTAGCAGTATTCTTTCAATGTGAAACTCGGCCTCCTCCCAGCTGAGCATCAACTTAAATGGACCTGGCAATGCTACAAAGCAAAGTGGAGATTGGGAGGACTTGCCAAACTCTTTCAGTAAGATCCAAAGTCCCAAATGTGAAATTCCTGAAGAGACTACACAGTGTCCTCTTTCTTTCTGCATAAGACAGTGAATTAGAGAAGCCAGCACCTCTACAAGGCCAGTCATTGTCATTCACTGGTGTGCTTTTCCCCCCTATGTCATTAGCAGATATATTAATCAGAGTTTACCCTTGATTAAGATATGTGCAAGGCTGCATCTATGCTGAAGAATTGATGCAATTTGAAACCATTTTAATTGCCATGGCTCAGTGCTATGGAATTCTGGGATTTGTAGTTTTGTGAGATATTTAACTTCCTTTGTCAGAGAGCTCTGGTGCTACAACAAGCAACAAATCCCAGGATTCCATAGGATGGAGGCATGGCCATCAAAGCAGTGTCAAACTGCATTAATTCTCCAGTGTGGCAGGAGCCTAGGTCTAGGCATGGTTTGGTCCTACCAGAAAGAGCCTTCAGGGATTCTTCAGCCCATGGATACTGTGTCTGTACTTATGGGAAATTTCTATTAAATCTATGTATAGGCATAAATTCCTATTAAGCTCTTTATGGGAAGTGTTGTGTGCCTTCAAGCTGTTTCTGATTCATGGTGACCCTAACTCTTTAAACAGAGGCTGGATGACCATCTGTCAGGGATGCTTTGATTTTCAGTTCCTGCATGGCAGGGTGTTTGGCAACCACGGTGTATGCAGGGGAAGCAGGAGAACCTATGCAATATTTGCATCATTATGATGTTTTTTTTCAGGCAGCAGTGGCAAGCTCCAGAAAAAAAGATTCCACCTCAACATCAGGAGGCACTTCCTGACAGTGAGAGCTGTTCGACAGTGGAACACACTCCCTCGGAGTGTGGTGGAGTCTCCTTTTTTGGAGGTCTTTAAATAGAGGCTGGATGGCCATCTGTCGGGGATGTTTTGATTTTGAGTTCCTGCATGGCAGGGGGTTGGACTGGATGGCCCTTGTTGCCTCTTCCAACTCTATGATTCTATAAAATTCTGTGAAATTCTAAATTCTATGGATGGCCCTTGTGGTGTCTTCCAACTCTCTGATTCTATGATTCTATTCTATGATTCTATGATTCTATCATGGGGTTTTTTTTGGGGGGGGGAGATTTGTTCAGAAGGGGTCAGCCATTGCCTTCCTCTGAGGCTGAGAAAGTGTTACTTGCACAGAGTCATCCAGTGGTTTTCCATGG